GTGGTCTTTTAAAACTTGCATTGGCTACTGAGAGCTGCCGCCATCTAGCAAAAGCTAGAATTATGATCCCCAAGTTCCTAAGGAACAATGCTCTCCTTTGGAGACTCCTTGTTGGCTCTTTGTCACCTGAGTGGCACCAGGTGCGCATGAGAATCCAGTGAAGTCCCCTCGAGCTGCATTCTGGTTTGTCATGCGCTTCCGAAAAGGGGCCTTTCCTTTTCACCTGCCTCAAGGCCATAATAATATGGTGCAGTTGCATATTTAACTGACCGACATCCAGAAAGTTTTCCTTTTTCCGAAAGCAGCTGGAATCAATTAATCTGGTTTTTTTAAGCATACAGTGTTTGACAATGAAAGCAAGCTTTGCCCCCTGGCCTGACCACAAATGGCATTTCCAGCAGAAAACACGGAGCCTTCTCTTTTGGACATCTCCAGATAAATCTGTTTTTCCAGGAGTGCATCCACAGGCAAGAAAACCATTAAGCTTTAAGGAAAGAAGCCAGCAAGCAAAGTTAACCTGTAGCAGCACTGAGGCCTTGTGGGTCCCTGTAGTGCCTGCGTCGCTACTCGGCGCGAGCCGTGGGGGAGAGTTGGTGGGAGCTTTCTGTGGTGAAGTGAGCATCGCTGGAGTAGCCAGTGCTGGCATCAGGATTTTTAGCTTTCAGATGCTGATCAGTGGGGCATCTGGTGGGGCTGGGACAGGCTCAGCTTAAGGACCACTTCATCAAGGAGAGCTGAGGAATTGTGGAAGATCACTCTAGCCGTGCTCCGTGTTTCTCCTGCATCTCTGATCCGTGTACTGCAGAACGTTTTAAAGAGGAGGCTTTCCCGGTGGGATGCTGAGATGATTATGGCCACGGAGAATTGGCAGGTCTGAGTTCGGCCTGAAACTTCAGCGTCTTTGACTCTTCAGAGTCTCTAGGGTAAGGTGAAGGTGGGCTGTCTTTGGCTTTGTTGAAAAGAGCTTTCCTTCTGTTTCCATGTTCATCAAAGGAGGCACCAGATACCGCCAAGAACCCGACTACCAGGTGTAATTGCCTGTAACCTCTCGGCATCAGTTGGCTCTGTCCTACTCTGCCAGACTCGGCTGTCTGATCTGCACAATCCACTAAGCCCTGGTTGTGGGAAGGAATGGCAGAACAGTGATTTGGAAGCCCCTTCCACCAGCATTTCAGTTATCAAAATGAGCGCCGCTGTAGCTTCATCTCACTTAAAAGCCCCTCACAGGCCTGCTTGGCTGGACGTAGTGGGCATCCGAAGTGGTGCATACGTCCTCTGCCAGGCCTCATGTCATTCCCACTAGTGAACACGGACTGGTAACGTGTTTGATTTGGTTTGTTCAGCCACTTTCTTCCACCCGACACCATCCACACAGTCACTTATCTGCCCTTTTCAAGCCCTTCTTCAAAGTAAATGCAATCAAGCCAGTGGCTTTTTCCACACTGGCCTCCTGAAATGTGTGGCTCAGAGCACCATGCAGACAGGACTGGGCAGCTGGGAAGCTGCAGGCATCAATGCTGCTGCTCCTGGCTTTTTCCCAGCTCTGAGTGGGGTCCCTTTTCTTCCCTGTCCCCCTGGATCCTTGAAAGTTAAAATGTGACGCAGATTGCATGAGCTACTGCCAACCTGGATGACTCAGTTTCCCCAGGCAGCTGGCTGGGGGATTGTAGCCCAGAGCATTTGGGGGTACCTGGTGGGGAAGGCTGACTTTTCTGCCCATTTCCTAGAGTAAGATAGCAGAGAGTCAGGGAAGGAAGCAGCTAAATTGCCCCCCAGGTCCCCCAGGCACTCTGCTGCTGGAAGGGAAGACTCTCACTCTGGCTTGCTACAACTGGCAGGTAAGAGAGAACTGCATACAGATCAGCTCCAAAACACATCTAACGTAATATCTTGGTTCAGTGGACTCAAAGACCATCCCTCCCCCGTCTGCCCACAAAGGAAAGAAAAGGTGCAGGGCTTTCAAGGTTTTTGCATTGCGTCATCTGGCAAGATGTTTCAAAAGACTGTGGCGGGGGGGGGGGGGGCTTGCAGCTGATAACGAAGAAAGCAGAGCCAGAGTTGTAAGATGATATGGAGGAAGGTTTGCAGATGTCACGGAGCAGAATCTAATAACCGTTTCCCACAAGACGTGGTTTGTGGTGGGTGGGTTGGGTTGGGTTGGGTTTTTACGGCCAGCATTATGTTTTTTGCTTTTGGTGTGCCTGCCTGGGGCAGGGTGGGGGGCGGATGGGCCCCTGGCGGTAGATGCGCTGGTGCCGGGCCTGCTCACCCCTCCCTTCTCTTCATCCCAGCCACACTTGCACCCCTCTGCGCATCTCTCTCCCTGCTCTGGGCCAGCAATGACCCTCCCATCCACCGGTGGGTGCGGCGCTCTCCCCCGTCCTTCTCTTGCGTTGCTGACACACGCACCGTGTCTGGGCAGGCTGACCGCTACACGCACAATGCAGCGCACGACTGCACTGTGCCGCCTCGCATCACGGGTGGGGTGGTGGCTCGTTGGAGCGCTGCTTCAACCCCCGTCCTGGCGGTATAATCCTGATGTGATTGCGCCATCATTTGAGGGGGGGTTGGATGCATCCATGTGTCCAGACAGTGGCATTCGTCAAGGCTCAGGGTGCCGCTTCAGGGGACCCGTCTCCACCAAGCCACCGAGATGGCCGTGTGACACCCGCAAGACTCTCTCTCTCTGAAACTCTGCACGGGTTTATTCGGCAACATCAGACATTTTGCAAGGCCAATGCAATAAGTTACATTTGAGCTGAAAGCTGTGGAAGAAACTGTTCTGAATGTGGCCCTGCTGCATGGATAAACTTGGGATCTGAAAAAAGGAGGAGTGCATGATTAAACCCCTGAAATGTGTTCAATTACTGCCAAAACAGGAAAGGGGGAGGAAGCCCAAGACATCATTCACTGGCAGTTTTAGCACTTGAAATATAAATATCTAAAAGGTGTTATTAGTAATATTAGTACATGTAATAAAATTTGAAATATGAAACTTAAAAACCCACCATCTGCTGCTTTCATGTGAAGTGTCAGTTAAAGACAGAATAAATCACAGCGCTTTAGACCCCAGAACAGATGACTTTATAGCTTTGAGCCAAAATGTACATTTCAGTGGAATGACAATCTACGGAAAAGTTTAAGACCTGAGTGCCTGGCATAATGGCTGGAAAACCGTCAGCTTGGAAAGATAAGATTGCCAAAGGAGCCCACGTCCAGCAGATTCATTTTCTTCATGACTATCTCTGACCTTTCCAGCCAGATACTCTGTACATTCTAGAATTCAGCCCAAGGCGATGTACTTCTTTCTTCAGCTGAAAAACAGAAAGATTTTCTTGTCTGTGTAGTAGCAAATCCGAAAGCTGAACATGGTGGTGCCCCAGTTCAAGCGGGAAAAGCCAAAGGTGCCCAGCTTGGGAACTGTCACCATTAAACAGGAACAGGGTGCAATTAGAGGAAGCCACATGGCAGTAATTAATTATTTTCAAGATTTATTCCCTATCATTTCTCTCAGTTTTCTTGAAATGGCATGGTCCTTAGTTTCTCGAGTGGCTTTCTCTGTTGACCTGTGTTTTGCTTACATTGACTGGGCTTGCATGACCTGACAGCTCCTCATGGGTTGCTCTCCCTGGTGGGTTGTCACATCATTCCGATCTGGACCAAGTTCCGCAGGGTGGCTGCATGAGTCAGACTCAGGGCAGAGAGAAAAGCGGGTTGGAATCCGGGAAGCCAAGCAGAGAAAAGCCACAGGATTCCCAGCCCCGATTCCTCACACGTCACTACCATGGTTTGTTTATGGTGGGTTGCTGGGTCATCTTACACCCCTCATGGGTACTTGTTGCCAGCCTGTGGCTTGATCAGCGAGAGCAACAGCCCCTGCTGCTTTTGCCAAGCCGGCCCCGGCACCCACCGAGGATCCCAAAGGGCCCAAGCGGCACTGCCTGGGCAGCCTCCGTTTGACCTTGGTCTGGTTCGACAGTGGCGTTTGCAGTCCCTGTCTCGGCAGCCACGAACAGCCCCTTCAGGGTGTCCAAGCATCTCCTGGAGGGGTTCTCCGTGGCAGTTGATCTTGTTAAGCAGAACTGAACAGATGGCGTGTGCGAATAGGGTGAGGGTTGTTTTTCTTAGCCACACTTGCATAGGCTTGGCGTTGCGTGAACGTGCAAATGTGAAGCTTTAGCCATCCGACCCTGAATATTGCCCCAAAGGGGTTCCAAAAAGCAGTTTTTGTCTGTCTGTCTGTCTTTGTTTTCACTTGGGAGCTGTCAAAGGGCATGCTGTGAGCAAGCTTTGCTCTCCAGAAGAGAGCCAGCGTGGCGCAGTGGTTAAGAGTGCAGGACTGGGACCCAGGCGATCTGGGTTCTAATCCTTGCTCAGCCATGGAGCGAAGTGGGTGACCTTGGGCCAGTCACAGGCTCTCGGCCTGGCCTACCTCACAGGGTTGTTGTTCTGGGGACAAGTCTGAGAGCAGGAGGAGGCGAATGATGTAAGCCGCTTTGCGTTTTTGTAAGAAAAGGGTGGGGTATGAATCAAATAGATAATAAAGGGGGTGGAGGGATTGCACCCCCTTTATCGTTTATTTTTTTCTTCCTGGCAGTGCTGAAGGTGATGCCACGTTGTACTTTTCGCAGGACTCGGCCTGCTTGGGCAGGCACCATGGTGTACCCCACCCTCTTTTTCTGGGACCCCTTAAAAGGCGGGCTTTGGTAAGGCCACGGGCAGCTTCTGACCTCCTCTCTTCTTAAACAATCCAGCTGGCTACGTATGCCACAAGCGCAATTGTCCCTTGAGTTATCACTGATGTCGGAGCTGCCCTTGACAATGTGACTTGCTACCTGCAAGCCGTGTGGGGAATGGGTGCTTCAGAAATTCCCTAAGTGGAAACACGGCCAATTCTTAATTCTGATTTCATCTGTTACGGAGCTTTTACAGGTTTTGAACGAGCCGGTTCCTTGTCCAGGTTCCCAGCACAACTCAAAGCTTGTTTCCATGTCTTTTAGGATCACCTGTTACTCCCTGCTACCACCCATAATAAGACCAGGCGGCCAAAGATGTCCATTGTGCTGCCGGCAATAAACATCAGTGGTGAGTATTACATTCCGCATGCTGGAAAAGAACCTGTTACTTCCTGTCAGTCAAATTGCCTGAGTTACATACAGAGACATGCGTCGTATTAATTACTTCTGTGCATGGGCTCTTTCCATGAGCCGAGGCGGAAGTCTTTATTTGTAGCAATCGTGTGACGATAAGCTTTACATTTTTGAGTGAGAACTGATTCATTGGAATTGAGCGTTTTTTTATTATTATTATTATTATTATTATTATTATTATTATTATTATTATTATTATTATTATAATAAAATCCATTCCTGGAATGGATTAATTCATGGTGCAGGTATGAGGAATTGCGTGTTGGAATGATGGCTCGAAAACAGAAACTAAGCAGTTTTGTAGACACAAAGCTGGCATGTAGAGCTGAATAACCTCCTCCCTGCCTTGTTACTCTTTCAGGTGCAGTGAGATGGGGGGGCATTGAAGCATTCAGGGCCCTTCCCTTCATTGCCTGAAGGGCGTAGTTTAAGAAAGCTTTATCACTTGAATCTGATGAGGGTACAATTTGCCCTAATGAAGAAGATACAGTTGAAAAACCAAACCTTATTTATTTAGTTTATTTGCGTGCAAGCACTGTCTTGAAAAACTCTTCTTACAGAGTGGTTGAGTCACATTACAAGGATGCATGTAAGCATAAATTTCACACACATTCTCTCTCTCTCTCTCTCTCTCTCTCTCTCTCTCTCTCTCTCTCTCTCTGTGTGTGTGTGTGTGTGTGTGTGTGTGACAGAAAGACAGACAGAAAAATAAAGACATTTAAAACTAATTCAATTAATATGATAAAAACAGCAGTTCAAAGTGTTTTTAAAAAGTCAGTGCTAGTCTGTTTGCATGCATTAGTTGTATGGTGCTTTTTGCATATCGTACCAGCATTTTTTTTTATTACTGAAACCCAGTTAATTCATTTTAGAAAGGCTGCAGAGCAAACCTGTTTCTCATAAGCTGACCAAAACTGTTTTCTGACCAGGAAGAATTTCTTCAACATGAAAGAGCAAGGCTGCAATTTCTGGCCTTTTTCATAGCTCTAGTTACTCAAGCAAGATGACCGACAGAGGGTCATGCAGGAGGTGGAGGCATGCTTAGACAATGGATCACAATTTGGATTTGGGATTAACTTGTCTGAAAAAATGCTTTTAACATCTCTGAAGCAGGAGCTGTTTCTGGACTTTCACACCTGTAGGCATGTGGTTTATCGCTTGCAGGCTGAACTCTGCGTGCGATAACGATATGGAAACTCTTACGTTTTCTTGGAAAAGTTCTTTGCTGCTTCTTGCAATCAAAGGCAGTTTTCCAAAGAAAGTGAACAGAATGAATTACACTCTTGTTCTGGATCAGAACACAGGGGGTGGGGGGCTGATGATCGTGCCAGCAGCACATTGTCTGGTGAATCAAAATGGGATGCGCGCTTGCCTTCAGTTGTGCTGATTTTTAAAAGAAACCAATGCATGTGTTGGGAGACAAAAGGGATTTGAGGGTTACAGAGCACAAGTCTGAATGGATGAGTCTCGACCTGCCTGTTTAAGACAGCAGAGACCCCCAGCTTGCGGAATGCAGAGGGTTCCTTCAGAAAGGAATGGATTCTTGGTCCCTCTTTGCTTCATTGCAGTTAGGAAATTCAGACAGTTCTTGATGCAAGGGTGAAGGAGGCACGTGCAAAGGGCACCGTCTTTCCTTTCTTCTCCCTGCCGTTCCTTATACCCTGGTCTACCGAGTGTGGTGCTTCTTTGTGGTTTCTGCATCACATGTATGCGCTCGGCGCCTGCATGGCTCCTGTGCCCAGGAGGTTTCAGTAGCCAAGAGAGAAAATTGCCTTCAGTTGACAGTGGAAAGGCTAGCTGATTTATTTGTGGGGCCCAGATTGGGCTCTGGGGCTTCCAGGTGGTGATGTGCTTATAGGTAGATACTAGGCGTAATTTAGGCCACAGAAGTGAACAAGTTTGGTGTCTCATGCTGACACATGGCCTGAGGCTCAGTGTTCCTCCACCCAGTAAGTTACAGCCCATAATTCTGTTGCCCACCCCATCTTGTCCTGCTGTGGAAATTTTCTTTGCACAGATAACATCTCGTGCTGTGCAAACCAAGTAGTGTGAATGTTCCAGCAGCTGGGAATGCTTTCCGTACCTTTTAAGGAATGAGCTTTCACTTTGCATTTGGGCTTTGGGGCGGTTTAAGGAAGCCCTTTCCAGGAACCAGCTTTGAAAATCCTGCTCGGGTGAGCCCAGTGCGGGTGCCTTCTGTGCAGCTGCAGGGTGAGGTTTTAGTCCAGGGTGAGGTGGCTTGGTTCAGTAGTGCAGAAGCCCTTTCAGCTTGCAGACCAAACTTTGCTTCCAGCCCCATCCACCCTGCGTCCCAAGGGTGGGTGGAGCTGGAAGCAAAACGGAGACACCAAAATATCACCCTGTGGTAGCCCGAAGCTCTTACTGCCAGTAACTAAACCCAAGGAGGCGTTCTGGAATCGACGGAAGCTCTGGACGTTTTTAGTGCTGTACCAGCATTTGTGCCAGTTAGGCCTGGCCCTTTAGGTAAATGGCACGCTCAGCCTGTTCAACAAATCCCAAAAGCAGGAACTTTATTTTGTCCGTAAACAAAAAGCCCAATACCAAAATAGGAGTGAAAATATGAGCAGAAGCAGCCCAGACTTTCCTTGAGCCCTTCCCCGGTCTTTAGGCAGGCGGGAACAGCAGCCTCAGTCCATAAGCCGTGCTGGGGTGGACAATGTGGGGCCCTTCAGGTAATGTTGGACTACATGTCACATCAGCCCCAGCCAGCTTTTCTGCTGCCTGCCCCTGCGTTAAATGTTAAATGTTTTGTTTTTAGCTTAGTTCCATCATCTGAGATGCTCGTAGATGTTGCAGGTTTCTTCAGTTGCACTCCGGGCACAGGTTGAATATTGCACCTGGCCAGTTTGCAGAAGGCAGGTGGGTGGTCAGTCCCCTCCTGTCACATGGAGGTGCAGATGGGACGTCTTCTTGGGGGTGCAACACCATCTCCCCTCAAGTCGTCCTGCCTAGTGGACTGGTGGGAAGGGGTCAGCGAGGTTCGCGAAGAACCTGCTGCACGGTATCGCCCGAAGCTCGTTTCCTTTTGGGCTGCAGGCAAGGCGCAGGTTTGCAGCGCATCCCAGCTGGGCAAAGCCCCAGCCACCATTCAGGGCGGGCAGCAGACGAGCCAGGCCAGTGCCCACGCAGTCCCTGTGGCAAGGGCAAAGCTGGTTCCTCTTGGCTTTAGCCGCTGGAACAATCGCAGGGGTGCTTGACCCAAGGCCTGCCCTGGCCCCAAACGGCGTGCCGTGGGCCCAGGGCAGGCCGCACGGCACAGCAGAGCAGGAAGCCGTTTTGGGTGCTTCGCATGCTTCCCCCGCCCTGCTCTGATATGCTTCTAGGCGCAGCGGAAAGAATTGAATCTGAGCCACTGGAGGCTTTACTTGCACTGGCCGCTTCGTTTCCTCGGTAGCACTTTTAGGGCAAAAGAGAACAGAGTGTTTAGAGAAGCTTAGGAAAAAAGGCATGATCGAGGAGGATAAAATTAACCGCAGTGCGGAAAAAATGTGTCGCACCAAAGCCGGGGGTCATCCCAGGAAGCTGAATGGGGGGCGATTCCAGACAGAGAGGAGGACGTACTTCTCACACAGTGCAAGGCTGGGCCCCGGATTTCGCCCCCACAGGATGCGGTGCTCGTGGCAGCGGTTGGGTGGCTTTGAAAGGGGGTTAGACAAGTGCATGCGGGAGAAGCTCCCAGTAGCTACTGGTCCTGGTGGCCACATGAGTACCTCTGAACGCTGCGAATGCTGCAGGCTGGATGTGAGCGTGAACTCATCTTGCCCAGCTTGGCCCTTCTTAAGCTCTTACCACAGCCGGCAAGCTGTTGCCGGGAAGCCTCTCCCCAGATCCAGGTGCAGAGGGGGTGTAAAGGCACACGCGACCAGCAGGCACAGGCGTCCTCCTCACGATGGTGCGCAGCAGAATACGAGGACGATGCCAGTGCCAAGCACGGGAGCCTGCCAGCAACATCAGCATGGCGCAAACCCGGATGATGGTTGGGTCACATGGTTTGCAAATCCTCTTCGGCCCATTGCGTTCGATGCTGGCCTGCTTGTGGCAGTCCCCTGGGCCCTTGCGGGAGCTGCCACCGGCGGCCGGGCAGGGATCCTTCTTTGAAGACTCAGCGGCAAGCCCTCCCGGAGCCCAGCCGACTGTCAGGCTCACTGTGGGTCTTTCACGCAATCATGGATGTATTTGTGGGGGGTGGCGAAGCCCTGTGTGACTGGCAGGCTCAGCGTCGAGTGGGCGAGTTCTTTCCCGGCGCAACAAGAGTGGGCCTTGTGGGTCTGTTGGATTTTCCTGCTGAATGGACAGCTCAACAAACTGGAAAACGTGAGCCAGAATGAAATTCCGTGTTTGTGTAACGCTTCAAAAGAAGCGTTTTTTAAAGCATTTCAGGCTTTAAAATGTACCTATGAACTTGAACCAGCTGCTAGAATCAACCATTAGGAAAGGGTCACCCCAGTCCAAAATATTTTATTCCTTCTCTGCTATTAAAAAAATAAAAGTGTGTTAAGAGAGCAAAATCTTTAATTGTGCTTTGGGGTAAGGAGGACTGATAGTAACTAATCGGAGTAAGAGGGAACCCGAGCCATGCGAGAGGCGGAGCCGCGCCCTGCAAAACGGGGGAAGGAAGGACTTTCTCAGAATGTGGGAAGTTATATAATGTTGAACGTTTTGTGCTGGGGTGGATTTGTGCAGGTCAGTCCAATAAGCAGCATGTGGAATAAGTTAGCAGAATAAGCTACTGAGTCATAGAAGATGGGAAGGCTGAGAAGCATATGGAAAGCATAGGAAGTGTGCAGAAGGGGACTCTTGGAAGTGAGCAGTTCAGGAAGGGGCCCTCGGCTTGCCGCGCCTGTGTGTGTGTGTGTCTGTGTCTGTGTGTGTGTGCAGAGCTCGCTGCCCTGCAGCTTAAAACGACCCACAAAG